CCGGCGGCACATTTGGAATAGAATGAAAGGAAGCGAGGGAGGGGAAGGAGCCCCGTCGCCATTTACAACAGCCCATGGCTTTGCCTAGTGCGGTACCTACAGACGGTGGCGACGGGTGGCTGGGAAAGGAGGAGACTAGTTGTGGCCGCGTGGAAACCCGCCTGTGTCACCAAGTATGATGACACGGGGCCAGCAATTTTTTTCCCCTAGAGCCAACCTCGCTCCTGTGTTATGAATACATTTTTTTGTTCAGTTATGTTACCAAAATGATTTGCTTTTTTCCAGCTTAAATTTGCTTGTATGGAAGCATAAACATATGATGTTAGTTTTATTGTCGCTTCTTGTAAATAAACATTTTTTCTTTAGATAGTGCAACCAACACAGGTTGCTTGGGATAAAAACACAAAGCTCCAATCCGGGCTCACATTCTTCCTGTGCATGTGTGATTTTCTTTTGGAGCCAGGCACGCGCCGGTAGGCTGGCTGGCTGGCCGGCTGTTTGCTCAACGTAACCTGGTAATAAAACGAAATTAGTTTGCTTCACCTCCTACTTGATATTTTCTTCTTTTGGGCTCTCTCTTTTTTTTTTTGCGAAAATTCTTTTGGGCTCTCTCACGTGAAGAGATTCAAGGATGTGTTTGGTTACCTGCATGTATTTTTAGAGGTCGTATGTGGTGAACGATGCAGGCTTATTGAGATATGAAACAATGAAAACGGCCTAAAAAATGACGTGGACATATTGTTTGGTTGCATGCATGACGGTTGATGAAGTTTGGAAGTATTAATGGTCACTTGTTTTGTTTTAATGGCCTTTTGCATGTACTGTGAAAGGATGATGCATTTTAGGGGGTGTTTGGTTTCAGAGACTTTTTTATGTTGGGACTAGAAAAATTACCTAGCAAACCAAATAGGATGGAACTTTTTTAAGACTTTTTGCTAAAAATCCTTAGAAGCACCTTCTTAAGAGTCTTTTTTAAAAAGCCCCGGGGACTAGAAAAAGTCTTAGGACTAAAGAACCAAACACTACCTTAACGCACAAAAAAAAGGGTAGCTTTTTCATAGCATGATCTGTGTGAGGCAAGCTGAGTGGAAATGATCGATTCGGCCGTTCCTCCTCATTGCCGATCACACTGATTCAGCCATGCTCTATGCTACTTTGTGAGGCGTGTTAGATTGCATGTGAGCTCAATGCATGTAATTAAACACGGTGCAAAGTAAAAGAATTTTTTTCTACATAGCTTACCTACCATCAACGTGTGGACAACCAAACACGTTCCAATCATGTGGTGCGACATGATGTCACGTCTCAAAACACTTGGTGTGATCTGACAAGGAAGCGTTCGAGTTTCATGTATGAAGTTGGAGATGTGTCTACCGGGCCATGGCCTAATTTCTGTTTTGGGAATACGTAAGGGCATCTTCAATAGATTGTATGTTAGCTTTGTTGGTAAAATGTTTCATGTCATCAACCAACAAGCTATCATACAACTACTCTAATAGATTGTATCTAAGCTATTCGTGGTTGGTAAAATGTCTATGTCATCAACCAATAACCTTTGCACAAATGGTATCATAAGCAAGATTTGATTTGAGGCCGTGCATGGTGTTGATCTAGTGGAGGTGGAAGATACCGTCGTTGGAGTTTGACAGGAGCGATCTGCAGCAGTGTCGGCGGTTGTAATCTTTACGAGGGGATCACGGAGCGGCAGCGATCCAGGCTGATCTCGGCAAGTTTCGAAAGCGTGCGGCGCGTGCAACTGCAGCGGTGGGCGCGACTCAAAGCGAGACGTGTGCAGGCGGCGGTCGGGCAGCACGAGCTACTGCTCGATTCGGAGCAGCGGGCCATTGGAATCGTGCAGGTTAGAGAAAGGCAAGTGATCGGACAGAGATTTGTTTTGGATCAAAAGACAGTCCTCGTGTGCGACGTGGACGGAGGCAGCCAGGTCGATTCGGCGGAAGGAAAACACATCATTCATGGTACACTGGTACGCATCCATCAGGGAGCAGGGGCGACATCAACAGTTTGCATCGGGTCGTGCGCGTGGGTGCAGCAGAACAGCCAGGCCGCAGTACGAGAGGTTCTGGCTAAGCATCAAGGAGTAGAGTAGCTCCCGTGAGTAGCAAGTTTGGTCAATTTTCAACCTGGTATTTTGCTACTTGCACGCGGGAAGGGTGCTGGACTTTGGGCTTTGCTAGACATACACGGACTGCATGGCATCGCATGTGGTAAGCTTGGTTAGTTTTTCGCAGGGTCAGCCGTATAAAGAACCATGGCGTCAATGAGTACCAGGTTTGAGGTGAAGAAGTCCACGGAACTAAAAGCTTTGGGTTATGGCAGACAAAAGCAAAAGATTTGTTGGCACAACGGGGATGCTTGTAGGCGTTGCGACAAATCATGTCAACTAAGATGAAATTTTCACGTGAAGAGATTCAAGAATGTGTTTGGTTACCTGCATGCATTTTTAGAGGTTGTATGTGGTGAACGATGCAGGCTCGCCGAAATATGAAACAATGAAAATGGGCTAAAAAATGATGTGTACATATTGTTTGATTGCATGCATGACGGTTGATGAAGTTTGGAAGCATAATGGTCACTTGTTTTGTTTTAATGGCCTTTTGCATGTACTACTGTGAAAGGATGATGCATCTTAACGCAAAAAAAAGAGGGTAGCTTTTTCATAGCATGGTCTGTGTGAGGCAAGCTGAGGGGAAATGATCGATTCGGCCGTTCCTCCTCAATGCCGATCACACTGATTCGGCCATGCTCTATGCTACTTTGTGAGGCGTGTTAGACTGCATGTGAGCTCAATGCATGTAATTAAACACGGTGCAAAGTAAAAGATTTTTTTCTATGTAGCTTACCTACCACCGGTGTGTGGACAACCAAACACGTTCCAATCATGTGGTGCGACATGATGTCACGTCTCAAAACACTTGGTGTGATCCGACAAGGAGGCGTGCGAGTTTCATGTATGAAGTTGGAGATGTGTCTACCGGGCCATGGCCTAATTTCTTTTTTGGGATACGTAAGGGCATTTCCAATAGACTGTATGTTAGCTTTGTTGGTAAAATGTTCATGTCATCAACCAACAAGCTATCATACAACTACTCCAATAGGCTGTATCTAAGCTATCCAATAGATGATGAAAAAATAAATATGATTGCTTTCTATTTCACCTTGGAGCTTGTGCAAAGGTTGTTGGTTATTTTACATACAACTTTGTTCTCTCTTCACATTTATTACATGCCACATCATCACTATGTCCTAGGTGGCAAATTTACCAACACCTATGTTACAGTTGTTGGAGATGCCCTAAAGCTTGCATATCATTCCATTGATAAAAGAAGTTAAGAGTGAGTACATGGAGTGGTACAACACATGACACGGACACGGGAGGTGTGACACATGGCGACTGTACAGATGGACATGAAATGCTCAGCCCAACCAGAAAAATAACACGGCTAAACTCGCCACCGTGGGACGCAGCCCGAACCAAACTAACAAGGCAACGAAAATCCACAAAACTACCATCATGGACACCGCGAGCAA